CGAAGTTTGTAAATTTCATAGTCCGGTGCAGAGTAATTCACTTCATCGCCTTTAATTCGGTTTGACGCATTTATATCAAACGTGATTCTCGACGATTACCTTCATCCGAGAATTCGGTGGGGGCGAAGCACCTGCGAATTTGTGGTTTCATTTTGCCAAGTGTCAGGAACTACGAGTTTAGTGACAAGGGGTAGTTCGTCGTCGGTGTCCGCTCGATATCTGCGGGCATTGTCTGCTCAAAGACGAGATGAAGGCGGTTTCGGGGCGAACAGCCATGAACAGCTGCCAGGCGCACTCAGTACGAATCAATGCGTTGTAAGAGAAGACAATGAGCGTCTTAAGGAGTCCCGTTGAGTTTTGCTGAGAGTTGACCCGCCCGAAACAGTCGAAGCTTCTTCAGGGCGGCAGTTTCACGGTTTCCCATAATGCAGCACGGGGCCGGTTCCGGGTCTACTTAGGTAGAAGTTTACCGACGTTTCAGAGGTCCTTGATGCCTCCATCATCAGGGCGATGAGGGTTTCGGAGCGACGTTTTTCCTCAGAAAAACAAAGACGTGCCACTGTTTGCCAACTCCTTTCGCCTACTGTTATGAAAGAGGGTGGGATGGGCAGGACATGTAGCGCGCATGGGGACGACAGTGCAAGAGTGACCTAAGATTCATCAGTGCAGCAACGACCTACGTGTTGTGGCGTAGAGCGCACATTTGGAATGTCCGTGTACTCCAAAGAGTATTCTTCGCGATCTTGTTCTAATACTTCAATCACAAGGAGGAAGAATGCAGTGCGAGTAGCCTACGTAGAGAGGGGGAGGGTTATATTTAAAATGTTCTAAACAAGTCTACTGGCGTTTGACACGAACGGACGTTGTCGTTTTCATGGTACTGTACTCCACCTCTCCGACTGTGGCGTTGTGTGGCCGTCGTCGCAGTGGAAGGGTGTGGCCCCACCCTGAGGCACGTGAGTTCACTACCTGTCGGCATCGCGTGACGCGATTGCCAGGAATGCGACATGAGAAATGGCTACAAACTTTTGGACAGATCGGTTCTGACGAGTAGCTGTAGGTAGAAGGATGTTATTAAAATGGATCTTAAATAAATAAGTGAAGTTGGGGATTGGTGTCAGTGTCTAGCAGCTGGCTCCTTCGAACACCCCGACGAAACTTTAGGTTCCATAAAAGGCGGAAATTGCCTTAAATCTGGCTTCCCGAGGATTGCGACAGGCAGCGGCGTTTGTTCGATTGATACACGACGAGCTGTTCCATCCAGTGGAAAGACGGGAACTCTGCCAAATTCCATCACGACATCAACGAACCCCTGAAAATGTAAATCTGTTCCGTGTAATTATTCGAGCCTCCCTCGAGGCCTTCGTACGCAAATTAATTCCGCAAACAAAGCCACTGTGCGGGCGGACCCAGGGCTGGGCGGGGGGTAACTGGGACGAGCTGAGTACAGGGTGCGTTCTTCTGGGATGTGGCACCGAGCAGTTTGGTAGATGCTTACCGACGTTTCGCAGGACTTTACCGCATCCATCGTCAGGGTGATGAATTCCTATTTTCTTGCAGGAACCTGATTTAAAGTACGTCATCAATCCTAGATGAAGATGATGGGGTCACCATGATCAATGCCGATTGAAAACAAATTATAATCGGATTCTTGCCCGACATGAAAAATTTTCTGTTCGTGGTCGTAAAACGATCTAGAAATTCCGCCTGTTAATTTCTGAAAAGATTTGATTGTATAATTGACCCCGGTTACATACTTCCACGTCGCAGTGCAAAATATTTTCAGTTCGTATGTTGGTTATACTAAAAATAAAATTCTCTGCACAAGATAGGACACCCCTTTGGAGATCAAGGTGTAGGTGTGGTGATAATATTAAATGGGATGTTGATTGGATTCATGACGCTCTTGTGCCTGTCCTGTCACGAGTTGCCTCGTCCGAGAGCCACTCCGCCGCGCAGACAACTCAGGACCTCGTTCGTGTGGTTGCATATTGCACAGGCGAGCTTTAAGCGGGCCGGGGTCGATAGCACTTCCCCGGGTGCACATAAACCTGCCATCAGGCGGGTCGCTTCCCCCATGTCTTATTCAGGATCACCAGTCGTACGGGACCGCCTACGACATTTTTTTCCTTTAAATGTTTACGAACACTTGGCTGGAATGATCAACGGATGATGCAGAATGTCCGAGTGATATGCTCGCTGGTGGACGCAGTCGCGCGGGTGATGGACCACGCCACTGACTCAGTACGACGCGTCCAGTTTATGGATGATGACCCGGTGTAATTATCGGAGTTGCCGTGAGTAAAAGTCGCTCACACGAGGATAGGACATACAGCGTGTTCCAGAAGTGAGCATTTTGACCCATCGCCATATAAAGTGTGAACCGACGGACCACACAGCTCGATAAACCTCTGCCTTGCAAATGCAACGCTAGGACCAATACAAATATTTTACCCATTAAAGTCCAGTGGTTACTATATGTACCATCTGCTTCGACTGTCCTTAAACAGCGTCAACCATTGGATCTTCGTAACGATGAAGAGTTGTGTTTTCTTCGCGGTACGGACTGAATTCTTAAATGTTAACAAAATGAGTTTCGTTTTTAAAGAATCTTCTGGCTCAGTTTTAATTACGTTGTGCAGCCAAAGAGATTAATAGTAACGAAAGAAAGTACGTAATCCGTTCATTTAGTTTCCTTTGTGAATTAAACGTTTGCCAAGCATCGAAACGTCGGCTTTTGCACTACAAGAAATATTCGCGTAGTGGCAAGGCCGGAGACGGAGGAACGGAGGACAGTGCGAGCAGATGGCGGGCGTGCAGTAGCGACACGTTCGATTGTTCCTTGCAGTGACTACGAGAGCAGCAACATCTTGGACAACCTTCTGTCTCGCATGGAGCAGTACGCCAACAACCTGGAGGCGCTGGTCGAGGAAAGAACTTCGGACTACTTGGAGGAGAAACGCAAGTGCGAAGAGCTTCTGTATCAGCTGCTCCCAAAGTGAGTTTTGACGTCCTTCAGTCCTTGGTTACTGCTTTTCGTGTTCCTTCGCCTGAACTTAGAGGCCTTTCATTTAACTTGTTAAGTTGCCGTCCCATTATTCCTCACGGTGACGTCCGCCTCGATTCGACGTCTCTGTAAGTCGTTCGCAAAGCTCATCGAAATCGAATCGTCAGCTTCTGAACATCATAACAATTTTCCTTCTGGGCCGAAGGAATTTTCTTAAGCAGGGCAGACGTGTGCAGTTTTCATAAGTTTCGCGGAAACTCGAACCTGGTGGTAGGCGCGCGTATCGCGTGTTCGTGTTTCGACACCGAATACCCTGGACTCATAACGACCCGAATATGAAGCGGGTCTGATCGTTGGACCAGGTTAGACTGAGCCTAGCCCAGTGGCTTTAACAGTCTCTGAGGAATGAGAACACCGAACAATGTCCGACGCGATTAGCGTCCTGTCAGTTTTATGGGCATTTTCAGTTTCCCTTTCAGTAAAATTGTCTAATCCACAGGCGACGGAATCCTGTAAATCTGTGGCGAGAGAGACGTCGGCGTCATCTGTGGGTGGGGTCGGGGAGGGAAGGGGAGGCTGCGACGTGATTGCAATGCAGTTTAACTTCTCTTGTGTGAAGGAAGGCGTTGGAAACTGTCCAGGTTTTTTCCTTTGTCAAATTTCCTTCTCGCCCTCTTTAAAGATTCATTAAAGCGACGGTGAATGTCGTCACTTCTTGGATGGGTGACCACCTGGGGACATTGAGTTCGGTTGGCTGATCTCCGAGTTGATTTGCACAGTTTCTGCAGACAAATTCGTGGTAATTTCCTTAAATTACGCCACGTTTTCCCATTTGGAATTCATTATTCAAGACCATCCTGTCTAATTCAGCCTAAAGAGCGTAGTTCCGTGTAATTCGGTTCGTCCGTCGCTGCGCGTTGCTCGTGGGGACAGCCTCGAACCTTCCCCGAGCGACGTCTTGTCCGAAGCAGTGTTTGCCGAACTCGAATGCTTCGGATTGCCGAGTGTCGTCACGCGGCCATAAAAACAGCTGATCTGGGTCAGAATGCAGCGCCACGGTTAAAGTGACGTCACCAATCCGTATTTTCCTTCTTATGGCCCATCGAGAGTCTCGGTTATTGTTCTGTTTCCTTGCGTGTTTATGGTTTTGAGTGCTTTATTTTCAGTTTGTTGACAGGAAACGAAGTGTCTCTGCCCTGCAATTAGATTTCCAGGTCACTGTGTAGTAAACTTAACCGACAGCTGGTCACAGTGAGTCGAATTTTAAACATGACGTCACGCCGGAAGAATGAGAAGTGGAACTGCAAAGTTTGTTTTGTTTTTTTCAAAAAACGACTGTAACTCTTGCCTTGTTTCTTGTATTTCCACGTGTCGGTCTGGTCCCAAATTGTCATTTGTTCCCCGTTCGATCCCCGGGTCGAGCAGGTAAGAGCGAACAGTAACTTGGAGTTCGTGTGTTGCTGGCTGCAGATCGGTGGCCAGTCAGCTGATCCTGGGGCAGTCGGTCATAGCGGAGACGTACGACAGCGTCACCATCTACTTTAGCGACATCGTGGGCTTCACATCCCTGTCTGCTGAGAGCACGCCGCTCCAGGTACGTCCTGCGCTGTGCAGCCTCGATTTCCCATCGCGCGCCGTAGGAACGCCAACTCCGAAGACGGTGGCAGTGTGTTCTTCCGAAACGTTCGTGCCAGTCTACAACCCAGCGGACCAACTTCGTGGTCATTATTATTAAAGCTGAGAAGGCACACATTTATTGGAACCAGGGGCTAGTTAGTCACGTGACACTGGCGACAAAGCGTATCCTGGAAGTCGGCAGACTGCAATACATGCTCGCTACATAGATTTAATGCAATGAGAACTGGACTTAAGTCACTTGTGCGTCGACGATTCTGAAGTGTTCTGGCCAAATGCGTGGTCGCAGTTCTCGCGCTGGTTTTATTCACAAACGTAAGTCCATGGCCGTGGAGTTTGCGATTTCTTCCCGTGGGTTTATTTTTTCCAGGTGGTGGATCTTTTGAATGACCTGTATTCCTGCTTCGACTCCATTATCGAAAACTTCGACGTGTACAAGGTAGCCAGCAAATCTTTCTTCCTTTTCTGTCCAGTGATGCTGAATCTTTGCCGCGAACTTTCGGGCGCCGAAAATTTGTTGCCACCCAGTTTCATTATTTATCTATCGTTTACGTAATTAAAAAACATATTTTTCAGACTTCCTATTCTTCTGCACTACCAACTCGCTTCAGAGAAATTTCCCTGCGTTCTCGTGGGTGAACTTTAATTTGTTTGTGACCACAGATTCAGCATCACTGCTGCATTTTACTCGTGGTAAAGTAAAGTTTTGTTTGCGTTCAACCAACTGACGGCTTTGCAGTGCCATTACTCGAGTACTGAGAATTATAAAAGTTCATATAAATCTGCATAAGTTAAATATTTCAGCGTCCTGTGCTTAGAATGGAATTCCAGAACTTGGCTTCTGTTTCAAACCGTGGCAGTGTTTCCCGAACTGAAGCTTCGACACGAAGACAAACGACTGTTTGCTGTTCACGATCCAAATTGTCTTTTTCGTCAGAACTAACAGCGTCGCTCATCCTGCGGAATTTTATTTCAGTTTAATTTGCATTTTGAGACACTCTTCCGTGTTCCTGGTTTAGCGCTGCGATGCGAAGACGACGGATTAGTCCCCTGCAGACGATACTGGCGTATCCTGAATATCGAAAACAGGCGGGTTGCGTGCTGCGGTTTGGGAACCACTGCCACGGAGTGTCATGACGTATCAAGCGTCTTATTGGTTGATATAAAATGCCGGTGATCTGCTCTGTCGTAGATCTGACTTGAACATATTTCTAATTAACTTTATAGTTGTTTCATTTTTATGAGGTCTGAATCCATGTATAGGTCCAGTACACGAGCACTGGAAAACTTAAAATGTGTTATAGCTATTTGTACTTGCCTTTTATGGAAACAGAGTTCATTATCGTCTTCACAAAAGCCCGCCACCGGTCTGTATCCTGGTACAGATGAATCCAGTCCACACCCTCCCATCTGAACAATGAATATCCACTTTAATATTATCCTCCCATCTACGCCGATGTCTCCCAAACATCTTTTCCCTTCAGGTTTTCCGACTGAAATTTTGTGAGCATTTCTCCGTGCGTACTACATACCAGACCCACCACAAAACTCCTCGGAGGAGATTCCTTCTTCAGGATGGTGTTAATGACGTAGCAGTGCTTGTGAGACAACGCGTGACTTGACCTGTGCTGCCCTCAGGTGGAGACCATAGGAGACGCGTACATGGTGGTGTCTGGCCTGCCAGTGCGCAACGGGACCGCGCATGCGCGGGAGATTGCGCGCATGTCGCTGGCTCTGCTGTCGGCAGTCCGTGGGTTCACAATCCGACACAGGCCCTCGGACCAACTGAAACTGCGCATTGGAATGCACACAGGTAGGTTAGGTTAGGTTACGATCGTCTCTGAGGAACGTGCCGCCTCCACCTTCGGAGTTGCCTGCCTGTAGTGTGAACCTTCGAGGTCTCTGAGCCTCGCTTACTCCCCACTGCTCTGTGCGCAGGTCCGTGCGTGGCGGGTGTCGTCGGCCACAAGATGCCTCGCTACTGTCTCTTCGGCGACACAGTGAACACGGCCTCCCGCATGGAGTCGAACGGCTTGCGTGAGTATCAGCTGCTGTCGCTCCGCGGCTCAGCCCCGAGAAAACCTCCCGTGCCTCTGGTGTTCCCTCATTACAGCTGTTGCTTTGTACCACAGCACAAAAACATAAGTCACTTTGTTTTTACTGACGTTTGTCTGCAAATTTCGTGTGTTTTGTTTTTCCAGCCCTTAAAATCCACGTGAGCCCCAAAACAAAGGCAGTTCTGGACACTTTTGGATCATTTGAATTGGAACTGCGAGGTGAAGTGGAGATGAAGGTAAGAAACGTTTCCTCATTTGCGGTTGTTCGCGTGTTCTCTTGAAGCATTCGGGTCTGAAGACGGAGGCAGTATGTTCCTCTGAAACGCAGTTGTCTACCTACAAGTCCACGGACTTATGCTGTCTAGAAGACCACATGAACGTCCTTACCGCTGGCAGAGCCTGAAATCCGGACTTTTTAAGCCTCTGTTTCGCTCTTAACAACTGGGAGGTTGTGTTGATGTTGTTCTGTCCTTTTCTTTAAGGGAAAGGGCAAGGTCACGACCTACTGGCTCCTTGGCGAGAAGACGCCGTGCCTTTCGAACGCGGTGGGCGCGGCTGGCGTCGCCAACGCAGCGAGCAGCGTCGTCGCAGCTTCGGACGCCGCCCCCGCCCCCGCCCCCGCGTACTCGGTGTCCTTTTCGGCGCTGCCCGTCCTCTCCAGTAGAACCGGAAGTGCTTCGTCGCCCAAATCAAACAAAAGCAACAGCAGAGGTAACAATACGGCGCCCGCCGCCGCTCACAAGCTGAACAGCGTCGTTCACACGCCGAGGCCAAACGCCGCGACGCCTTTGCTGTCCAAGGACATTAGCGCGTAAAGTTGAAACTGAGACCCCTGGTGTACGTACAGTAGGCTTGATCGTTTTGATTTAGATCTGTTGTAACAGTTCATAACAACTTCGCTGACAGTGGCCCTTGGGCTAGAAGCTTTTCTGACGTCCCGCACTAGAAACCCTTCCTCTGAGGATCGTGGAAGACGTGAATTGTGCGACCTCAGTGACGAGAAACTGAGTCTGGGGTGGATTGAACTGGCATAAGTGATGGAAGAGGGAATCTGCTCTGAGGAGTTTTGTGACGGGATCCGCTTGTGCCACCTGCCTAAAACTCTAACGCTAATAATTATTTATTGTGGTGGCACTCAGGGAAGACCACTAGCGAACTACTTTCAGGATCTCTCAGTCCCAGGAACAGCGCCGTAGTTTGAATCATGATTCTGCCAACAAACACAAAAAATGTAACCAACGCTGTTAAAGCTGATGCTATAGAAAATCGGCAAGTCCCTTGTAGTCAGAGCTTGTGTAAGAGTGGAACAAGTTTTTGATGTCCGAATTTGATTTTATCAGTTTGTAACCAGACATGAAATATTTGTGAGTGTAAGAATAAGTGTTCAGATTTAAGCTCCATTGTGATGTTAAGATAAGAAAATGTGTCAAATTCTGTTATTTCAGTATGAAATCGGAAGAAATTCAAAAATTAGTCTCCTTTTCAAAAGGATCGAGTTCTTCAACTTGAGTCATGTCACTCTCTCCTCTGCTGAGTAAAGCACAGAGCTTGTCCTTTTTAAAGTCGACCGCAGTCACTCAGCTGTCGTAAATGTTACGACCATGGATCGGTTAACTCCGGACTGCAAAGTCGAAGAATACGTAAGAATTGAACTTAGTTCAAAGCCGTGGAACATTTGTTAACTTCAGAATGTTGTCAGTGGTACTTAATCTCAGCATGTGAAATTATCAACGATTTCGTAACGTATCTTTAATTTATTTTGAAGATATAAATTGTCCTTTATAATAATATTTCATCTGCAGACCTATTAATACGAACGGCGTATCGGTTCAGAAATATTTTGTGGTGCAGGAACCACATTTACTCCTGGTTCCACCGCGGTGCATCGTTTTTGGCAAAGTGAATTTGGAGCCAGGAAAATTATGGTTTCACGAACTCTTATGAAATTTTCGTTTTGCAACTTAAACGCGTTCATCATTATGAATATTTGTGTGTCTTGCCTCATTGTCAGTGTTATACTAGTTATTTGTCCTGATCGATTTGAAATACAGACGATTATGTACAGAAATACGTGGGTCGTCTCGACTGTGTTAATAACCATAGCAATGTTAATAATTTTAAAAGTACCTGATTAAAGTGGCGTGTTACTTTCACCGGGGCTGTACCAACAATTCCTCAGACTGTCTCTTGCTTGCATCGCCAAAGCTGCGTTACGCAAATGTAATCGCATGTTGGAATATTCAGTTGTTTTTAAATTCGTGAACATAATTTGTCTTGGAGCGTGAATTGACGCCTGATGAATGGACCTGACGTCTTTCCTACGCCGTCTGCTACTGAACACAAGACAGAAATCGAGCAAATATCAAACAAAATGTGAATAAGTCCGGAGCAGATGACGGAGGAATCCGGGCGTCACGTGCAAAGGGAGTTCACGCCCCCTGTGAAGGTAGCAGTGGACCGAGAAGACTCCTGAAGGAAATTAGAGAATTGTTACGTCTGTTACCAGAAATCGATGCATAAATAACATTAAACGTAAAAGTGGCGTTAACTTATTTCAGTTTCAGGTCACCAATTCCCGCATTCCTTCCTGTCTCCTAGCATTCGCGTGACGTAATGCATCTGCGTCTTGCTTTCTGGGAAGATCCATTTCATCTCTAATCTTTGTCTTACGTGACAAGCGCGGAACGCAACCTTTCCAGCTTCCACATCCGTTGGTCAGTGAACAGACTGGCGAAATTCGACGTAGGAATGGATTATTACACAAGTTATCCAGCGATGTTGCATTCCGCGCTGTCAGGGTCGTATTTGTAGGTACGTACATTAATTAGTAACATCGGTTCATTAGACTAACGTCGTGAGACTGGAAAACCCATTATGGATTTGATTAATAACGTGCTTTTGGGTCAGCGTGTATCGAGACAACTTGTCATTCCGGTGTTCAAACGACGCATTTCTCGACGATCCACTGCAGGTAACTGTTGACACGAGTGTAGATGCCCGGGGTGTTGGGCTCCGCGCAGCGGATGCCCCAGGACACGACGCCAATTGTGGCCCATCGACCGCTTTGAAGCTGCAGCATCAGCGGCCCTCCGGAGTCGCCCTGACAAGCAAGAAAGTTACAGTTGCTCAGCTGGTCGAAAAATCTCCCGCCTTCTGCGGAATCGTGTTCACTTAAGCCAGAGGATTTTACTGATTTCACAACCCTGATGATGGTGGCAGCAATTTCCTCCAAGTCACAACAAAGACGAGATTCTGTGAGAGGGCGAAACACGTCGCCACGGCGATAATAGAAAGTCGGCCAGCGGAAATATTAGTGTGATCGTCGTAACCAACAAACCCCTTCGTTATCTGAGTTCATTTTATTAGACGCAAACCCCGTGCGAGGTGCTGATTCTTTTCTCGCAATTTTGACGAGGAAAAAGGGCAAAGTGTAAGGCCTACGAAACATGAACACCCGGTTCTCAATTGTCATTCAGTTCCCTGGCGACTTCTTCGACGAGCCATGTTTTCTCTCGCCGCCAAGACGCTAGGCAATGTTCTCGACAGGACCGCGTCGCGTTCATCGTGCGTTGAGGGATGCCTACCCGACAAGCGTCTCTGCCCCCTTCCTCCGCTCCCGCACACAGGGCTGTGTCCAGGACAGGTTGGGTGAAACGAGACTGGCAGCGACTCAGGTTCCACACAGGCACTGCCACCTCCATGAGCACCGGGCTGGGTAGACCGTGGTAATGTGTAGCGCCCCACCCTGGAAGCAGGAACAGTGGCACGACGTTGTTCAGAAATTCATCGACGACTCTCGGCGGTGATCAAGAAGAGCAGTACACGTGTTTGAACGAGCGATGTGTAACAAACATCCTGGTTTGGAGACGTGGCGCTTACCTGCCACGATGGCCGTCACTCTGTCCAAGTCCAGGCCGGGAGGAGGCAGGCACACCGGCCAGATGTACGAGTTGAAGGCCGCCCGCCGATGCAGCCTCAGAACTGCGATGTCGTTTTCATTGGTCGAGAACGAGAAATCCGGGTGTTCTTGAATGTCCACCAGCTGGAAGTTCTGAGCTCGAGTCTCATTGAAGCGACTGAGGTCATATTCGCCCAGACGAGCTGTTATGGGCTCCAAATTATCTCTGAAAAGACAGGACATGAGTACGAAAACTTTCTACGCGTTCAGAAAAAATAAATAAATTGTGAGACGTCCAACCACTGGGGCAAAGCGAAGAGTTGCTCCTCCAGGGTTACAGAAACAGGCGAATGAGCAAGGACGTACCTGTAGTGGACGCAGTGCGCGGCCGTCAGCACATGTAAGTCCGTAATGAGCACCCCGCCACAGAAATGGACACCCTTGCCCGTGAGCAGTGCGACCATCCACGGCCACCCTTCGGGGTCTGCAGGCTCTCCGCTAGCAACGCGCTTGCCAGCCGCTGTGCTCACCCCACACCCTGGGGCAGAAAGTGCGTCGCTAAACAATAGAAACCTCGAATTCTAAGATTTGTAGGTACGCTTCGGACTAGTTCCAACAGATATGAATACAGAATTTCCATCGGGAAACTATTTGTAGGAGGTTATCAGGTCGCGTCCCATCAAACCGGGACCGACCGTGCGTATCAGGGACGAACACTGACCTCTGACCTGAGGTGGGGTGGAGCCCTGTGAATCGCTGACGGGCGGGGATGTCCCAGGTACACCCGAGTCAATGGCAGGCAGCAGACCTGCAGCCTCTGATCCAGGAAGGCCTCCCGCGCTGGACGTGCCGCTGTTCTCCTGTCCCGCCGGACAACACACGCCAACGTACCTGGAAACCGCACGTCACACCAAGATCAGGTTCTTCTGGGCCCTGGGGCTCTCTTTTGTCTCTAATTTCACTCAGGATACGGTCATCCGTTGGTGACAACCAAATTAATATTTCCACATTCCGAGTTCAAAGTGAATTATCGAGCTGGTGCGATTAATGCAATCCGTCGGGTGTTCGAACACAGAGCCGCTGCGTTCCTTATTGTCTGTAGGGTTCTTACGTGCAGAGCAGAGGCCAAATGTGTTTGTAGCTCACAAGTATTTGGGCCAATGTCAGAGCAGCTCTGGACACGAAGAGGGCGTATCCCCTTCCTGCTTTCACAAAAGTTCCGACCTCAATCGCGTTTCGCCAGAAGCTTCCGTCTACTGTTCGCTGTGGACGGCGCGTAATGATTTCTGCGTTCGGTCCGGACTCTTTCCAGCGCGTCGCTGTCACAGCGTGTCCATTTCATCATCGAAAAAGGGAACAGCCACTGTATCGGAATACGAACGTGTTTGCTGTACTCACCGACCCTCAATGACGCATGCGTAGTCGAGCAGGGTGTTGGAGGTGCGGTGTTCCCCGAAGAGGCAGTACTGCAGGTGGCGACAGCGTCCCGTCTTGCCTCCCGGGACCGCGCATTCCTGATAGCCCTCGTCCGGCTGCAAACGTCGTGATTCTGTTTTAAATAGGCCACGGCTCTCAGATGACGGACCGGAGTTTTGATCCGTGGGTTTCTCTTTGTTACGAATTCGAATGTTCAAATAGGAACTGCCTTCCGGAGCCATTACATATTAAGATTCGAACGTTGTGTATGAGTGAGTCACGTGGGGACCCTACTTGGTGCTGATAGCAGCAGGTGAACTCACCCTCAAGACGCCCAGAAGTCGCGCCTCGCCGCCGCCCACCGTCGTCTCCAGTTGTCTTACAAACCGACGACTCTCGTTGCTGGCGCTCCCACGTGACCGCGACGCCAGGTCCAGAGGAGGAGGACGCGCCGACACGCCACCTGCCACTGGAACCGACAACGACTGTCCGAAAGAAAGGACGAACCAACGTCTGTTCAGGTTTTTAGTAAAGGGAGGATAATATTAAAAAGGGCATCAAAGCGAAAGGGTGAGGGGTGTGGACTGGATCCAGCCGGCTTACGTTAGAGTGCAGTGGCGGTCCTCTGTGAACATATTTTCCATAAAAGACGGGGAATTTCTGGGCCATCTGAGCGACAATCAGCTTATCAAGAATGACTCTGCTAAGTCTCATAATCGGTCCGTGGGCGATGATGGCGTACTGAGAGGGCGGATGCGCACTTCCGCTGCGCAGTGAATCTAAATCCGAGACTCGTTATCTCGGATGCAGGAAGCATCTTTCCGCCTGGCGTCTGCAGCGGTAACCAGGCAACCAGTCAATTCCTCTGATAAATTAATTCCTGATTTTTGCCCACAGCAAGTTCCGAATAAAAAGAGAGCCCAGTGTTCGCGTTGTTATGAACATCTTCCTCACGCTCTTGAAATTCCCACCGCAAAAGGAGAGCCAGAATAATTTATTCGATCATTTCAGAAAATAAAATCATTAATAATGCATCAGACTTCACATTTTCATCTGTATCGAATCGCCTCATGAATCAAATTACTAAAAAAAACTCTCGCGTCGTGCCTTTGCGAGGGCCGAGTACAGACAGGCGAAGATGCTCTGCGGCACAGAGGCAAACCGATGCTGGCTTCAGGCTCCGGCCGCTTTAGTACCGCGTATCAATTGGACAAGGTGTCTGTGTGTGTGAGTTCTGCTGGACCAGTAAGAGCTAACGCCCCAAATGCGTATTGTGGATCGGATAGACGGACATAAAGATGTTATTTGTTTTACAGCGTACAGAGCGGCTAACAAAACCCATTGAAAATCCTCAAAATATTAGTCTTGTGGGGGTAATATTGCACTCTTTTAAAAGGAACATGTGTTCGACATTGTCCAGTGTCGATCATAATTTCCTGCAATGAATCAACCTTTCTCTGTGACGTACGTACTTACCGCCATTACCAGACGGTGTCTGTGTGCTGACATCCAACAGCAGGAGCACAGCGAGTGCTGACAGGCTGACACGCAACACGCGGGACTTCATCTTCGTCTCTGCTCAGACGATGTCAACGCAGCGATGAGGGTGCCATCTGCCTGAGTCACTCGCGGACTGATAACGCCTGCTCCCAGCCACGAATAGCGAAATTGTTTCTGAACGCTGTCCCGAGCCAGATAAACCCAGTCCCGACTCTCGCAGCTTGTTTCTCTGAAGTTAATTTTAATGCATAACTTTGGTTGGAAAGCATGACGAAAAGAGACCACTGGAAAGATCTAGGCGTAGGTGGGAGGATAATATTAAAATGAAGGGAATGGGGTGTGATGTGAGGACTGCGTTAATCTGTTTCAGGACAGTGAAAGGATGGCGGGCTTTCGTGAACACGGGAATGAACGTTCAAGTCAGTTGTACAGGGAAGTATATTGACCAACTGAGCAACTGTCAGCTTCCTAAGAAGGACTCTGCTGCATGGAGTTAGTAGATTATTTGTTCTGTCCCTCGTGCGTGCTACGTGGCTTGGCCACCTTCGCCACTGAATAATTACTCAGAGGAGTAGGTCTGCAAGAAATGTTGTTATTCTTATGTTGTTGAAGAAAACGGAAGTATCAGACGTTCTTGAGTTAAAAATGTCCCTTCTCTTTAGTAGGATATAGTTTTTAAGGTGCATTTTAATTAACGTAATTACTTTTCTGTGTTATGGTCTTAATTGTTTTTACGGGTCTGTAGGTCTAAAACAGCTGATGTAACAGCATTTCGCTTTCTTTCTGGTTGGCACACACTTTCACTTAGATCTATTCGTTCTTAACCAAATATTAGTTCTATTTACTTTCTTACTTCCGTTGATCTCCACGAAATCAGGCCGGAAGCGAGTGGATAATAATTCAAAATTTCAAACATTGGCAGAACTTACAAGTGCTGGCCTTGATGTGTTTCATTTGTTCGGTCTTAATTAAAAAAAAACTGTGGGATTTGAGGTACGTTAGGTGTTGTTACGTAGAGAAATTATGTATTGAACTATTGATCAACCTGCTGTTGGCAAACAAAAGAGTAACGAAATGCAAAAATGGCGGTTTTATGTGTGTTGTGATGTGTGTCATAAAATATACGTGTTTTTAAGGAACTGAAATGAGAAATCATTTTAAGGATAGCCAGATTTACCAAACTTATTCAGAGCCGTAAGCACAGATATTAAATGACTGATGAGTGAAGAAAGGTACTTCCAACCTTAATAAACTTGTGTAGTGGGTTCCATAATCCAATATTCAGCCATGTCATGTCAGTTGGCTGGAAACTGACTATTGAGTAGTTAAGTGGCAAAGTGTGTGTGTGTTCAGTAATGAACTTGTCAACTATACGAACAAAATGTAATATACAGGCTTCAAAAGTGAGAGCCTGTGAGGTATCTGAGGCTTTTATGAGAAGAGCTGTTGATTAAATATCATGAAAATTGGTGTACTAGATGCCATCATCACCTTCAATGGTGCCAATATTTGTAGAATGAAAGTGTTGAACATCTTGGTAACAGTGTGCAAAGAGCTCTTTGACAACAAGAGGGAGGCTGAAAGCTGAATGAGCCAAAAGGAGAAAAAGGAAAGGAAGAAGAATGAAGAAGGAGAAAACCAAGGTGATCATCAAACAGTGCTGTAGCGTAAGTTAATGATCCCATTGGCTTCTTTCTTAGAACTAGCTTTTATTTCCTCAGAGAATATTTTACCTTACATTATGGAACTTTTTATAGCACTTAATGAGTACAATTAAAATAATTTGTGCAAATTGCAGAAATTACACATTGTGCTCCTAAATATGTGAAGAAAACTTAAGGGTTCCCTGTAAAAGAATGAAGCTTACAGATTTAATAATTTTCCTTACACAGCTTCAGATTTGCACAACTTGACAGCAAGAGACATTTCATTCTACAATTATTTATTTATTTAAATGAGCACTGCCTAATTGTGAACTGAATATATAGATCTACATTTTAGTTGCAAAATACAGGAAAGGAAAAATGTGTTAAGAATTTCAAAACAGAACAGAATTCATTTGCATTCTGTAGATCCGTCATATGCCTAAAGCCAAGAATAGAATACTTGCTCCTAATACACATATAAATCACATGGTTATGGCAGTAATTCACAGTCAGGTACTGTATTACTGCGGAATGATTGCACATGAAAGCTTGCATGTATATAAAATAGCTGAGAATTTTTGGTTGAGGTAAATTCTTCAATTGAGTACAGTTTAACTTAGATCGTGGTTCAGACTTTCATATTGGACATTTATAGATGTAGCAAAAGCCTTAAATCTTGTTTCATTTGAAAGAATATTAAATTTGATTTGAGTAGGTTGGTACATTAGTTGTTCACATCAAAATACACTTTAACTCTCAATAAAAAAAAGAGACATTTCACCTGCACTGATAATTGTCAGGTCCCTATTTCTTTTATAATATCATTAACATTTAAGAGTAAAGAGCCAAGTGCCGAGCCATGAGGTACTCCATACTTGAGAGACAGTCTTTCCAATAAACAATCCCTTTGTGACTTATTTGAACTGTGTGGGTCCTATTTGCAAGGCAGGTCTGTATAAGCTTACATGTGATACCACGTCTGAGAGTATTTTGTTGTTAGTGCAGTCGGATGGTTCAGACAGATCCAGAAGAATTCTGCTGTGTATAATTTGCCATTAAGAAGGCCAATTACATTGTCCAGAATTGAGAAAATTGCATCTTTCGTGGATTTATTTTTTCTGAAGCCATATTATAACAAACAAAAATTTCTGTTTCTCAAATGATGACATGTTTAGAGATTACTTTTTCAGGTTTTTTGATAAAACTTGTATGATTACAAACAACGGTTGATTGAACAGCGTTAAATATTATCAGTGGGACGTGACTAATTCGTATTTATCATCCGCATACAGAATGAGAAAATATTCCTTGAATTTGTGGGAGCACTTAGTACTACTTGGTTCCACGAGATGGCGGGCGCGTCTTTGTTTAATATTGGATTCAAAGAGAGTTCCCTCATAGATGGCGAGACGGTTGATTGTCAGGGACGTTTCTGTTTCTGTTTTGTTCATTTAACGACGCTTTCCAACAATACAGCGTGGAATGAACGGACAGTGGTGGATGATGAATTTGGAAAAGATGTGGAAGGAACCGGTCGCGGCCTCCTTTCAGGTACAATACGGGTATTTGCTCGGACGAACTGAGGTAAATCGGGAAAAAGCTCAGTCAGGACAGCGGGTCTCCTTTCACACCTGTAAACTACGCAACTGGAAGAACGTAGAGCGGTCCAAGAACGCGGTTGATTGGTCTATATTTAACACTACTACATCAACTGTGTCTGATGATTGTTAGTGGTGGCTGAGTGTGGACGCATGTAAAAATAATGGGGGGTAGACAGCTCTTGGCCTGTTTCACGGTCACGTGATCACGAGCGATGGTATCGGGGCTAATGGGCCCGGCCCTTCCTGTCAACGTCAGGCTCCTAGACCCGAAAATACAGCAGGAACTGAGTGCAAAGCCGCGTGTTTTCCAAATACAGTGTCTCGGGCCTTTTGTTCGTCTATTGCAGACCTGATGGCGTCATTGCTTGTTGCATTTTACTTAAATATTTACCATACCAAAGGAAATGTTGTGATTTAAATTTGTAAGTCCTGTTAAGATTTATCTCAGTTTCGGTACTGTGAGTCGTTTGGTCTGAACTTCGCGTAAAGTGAGTGCTGTGTTAAGAAAGTCAGTTCCGCCAACAACTGTCTGTGTCTACCTGCAGAAGCTAAACTTTGAAGTTCAGCTTTTAATCATTCCATTATGGAGGCGGTAGGACTTGTGTCGCTGAAGACACCTCCTTCCTATTCGAAAAGTCCCGACTTCGATTCGCGACCTAGAGGCCGGCTGTTATATGACTGAAGTGTGTCGTGGGTCTCCTCAGGCCCTCCAGACAAGTTATGACATCGGTCAAACACCAGTTTTCGTTCCAGATGATTCAAAATCATACTTTCATTTCACGCTATGAAGTTTATGAAGCGAGTTGTAGTAAGCCAGTTCGAACCAGGTCGCCTGCGTGTTTCTGTGAACGCCCGTCCCCGGCAGGAAGTCCACTCGCTCCCTGACACCGAATCAGAAAGACGCCTTAGTTCTCCCTCTGCTTAATTCAGCACCACGCAGAGGTTATTATCAACTTCTGCAGCAGATGGAGTTGAGTGTTTACCTTCACGCCCCGTCCGCTTTATCCCGAGGGCGGTGCTGGACAGTACTCTGGTACAAATAGAACAAATTCCAGCGCATCACCGAAAGTTGTGATGGTGGGCAAATGCCGTGCGAGAACAAAGACGTTTCAGATCCACAATTTGACGATCTGGTGTTCCAGCCGGTAGCAGCGAGTGACCGCCATGGGTCCCAGGGTGGGGCCTTCGTCTGGCTTTTCCCTACCTGTTGAGGGTCCTTAAGATTTATTGCAGATAACACTGCAAGGGCTCCAGTCTGCCTGTTTCCCCGGAGCCACTGGCTTCACGCTCAAGGCTTCTTGTAACAGGAGACGCCCAAGCGTATGGAGAATGTCTGTCAGATTCCCCCTGTTGGTGGAAATATTGCGCGTTGAGGGCCGGATTAACTCGCTCCATGTACACCCCTGATCTGAACACCTGTGATTCTTCTTGTTTTGGTGTGGTCGCATTTTTACTTTGCACGAAGTGCACAAGATGAACGCAGACTACCTAACGGATTTAGATTAAACTTGGTATTGAGGGCCAACACAAAACGTTGTCAAGCGAATTAAAAATTTGTGTATTTGCCAGTTCTTCAGGACTTGCTGAGCGGTAAAGAAAGCTCAGCCTGAAGGACCACCCCTTCTCAGCTGTGCTTATTTAGCAGGCAACCGACCCACTCTACATGGCGTGTGGCTCTTGTGAACGCGGTGATGAACCTTCTGGTGCCATGGAAGGCAAGGAATTGCTTGACTGTGTGAGCGACTGCTAGCTTATCAAGAACGTTTCTGCTCCGTGGTGTCGGCATAAATTGTTGCAGATGTCATGAAATCGAACCGTCTTGAGTCGGGAGGTCGCCGGTTCAAATCTCGGTACAGACCCCGTCGCCGCCCTGAGACCGCGA